TGGCATATATAACATTAATGGATGTGCAGGTGAATGAGCCCTTGATGGTGTGGCTGATGTGGTTGGGTCCTCTGATGGTGTCACCAGAGTAGGCAACGAGGTTTGCTACAGGGATTGGTTCCTGGGTTGGTGTTTCTGTGGTGTGGTGTGTAGTTGCTGGTGAGTATTTGCTTCAGGTTGGGGGTTGTCTGTAAGCGAGGACTGGCCTGCCTCCCAAGGTCTGTGAGAGTGAGGGATCATTTTCCAGGATAGGTTGTAGATCGTGGATAATTGTGGACAAACAACATCACTTGTCCCAAAACCTCAGCCGTACAGAATGCAATGCCATCCACAGCCTCAGAAACAACTCTGACATTATCATGAAAGGGGCTGACAAAGGAGGTGCTGTAGTCATAATGAACAGGTCGGATTATGAACAGGAGGCTGCCAGGCGACTCTCCAAGACCACGTTCTACAGGCCACTATCCTCTGGTAGTGTTCATCTGTAGTATATTATGTTGTTTCTGTTCATTACGTTGACCAAAGATATTTATTTTAAAAGTGGTTTATATTAATTCTTTTACAGCAGCCTAGGTGAAAAGTAAAACAACCCAAGCTAGAATGATCAGTTTTAATGGTATTATTCTAATAAATTATTAACAGTGGCTCTGGAAGGAATATGGAGTGTGAAAAGAAATTTCTCCGTGGGAGGCTTGAAGCCAGCATCACAGAACAGAAACAGTTTACTTTCACAGCCCAAGTACTATTCCAGGCACGGAGGAATAAGAAGTAAGAGACAGTAATCAGTAGATTTCAACTGTAACACCTCATTTTGCAACATTAGGATGACACTGTTTTATAATATTTTTTAACATTTCAACCAACCCCTTCTTTTCCTTCAGCAATAGCAGGGCACTAGGTTGCAGACCTTACATAGGAAAGCTGCTGAGTGCTGCTTTGTTGAGCCATCTTAAGCTCATGTGCTAAGGACCTTGCTTGAAGATGCAGAATACTTACTTTTTATTCATGTTGGTGGGTGGATCTCAATAGCTCTATGTGGATCCTGAGTCACACTTACTCTCCTGTCTTCATCGGAGTCAGAGTTTTCTTCAGGTCTTGGACTACAGTAACCCCCTTCCTCTGCACATCTCCCATTGAGGAGATACGAGGTTGGGGTGAGGTCTCAGTCATTTCCCTCTTTGTATGTTGGGAGGGTAGTGGGCAGCTTGGTGAGATTTCTCTTTTCCCTTACAATCTCCAAGGGGCCTCTTCAGTCCCATGGGCCTGTCCTCTCCCAGCTATGAGCATAGCACTCTCACTATGCCCAGCAGCTCTCTTCCTGAGGAATTTGTGGACTCTGTAGTGGGGAGAAAGCTGCCAAGCTCAGGGGCATACAAAGTTTATAAGGTCTGTCAGGACAGTGCTGTTAGGGCCAGGGGGAGCATGCAGAGTTCATACTCTCTGCATACTGTGTGGTTAAGTAGGGCGCCTCTTCACCAGGCTGGGGAGTGGGCACTCCAGGCAGGACTTGCTTCAGCTCTTCTGTTGCAGCTCTCTCCTCCTGCCTGGGCATGTGATTCTGTGATTAACCTATTAGTGATCCCCTAAGAACTCACTTTGGGGGGCCCATAAATTGTTGGCTTACACACAGACATACACAGTATGTACAACTTATTTCCTCCCCAACCTCCACTGTTACTCTCCTTCCCTCAAAGGTCGCATGTTGTGCTGTGTGCAGTGCTCCACAGTGGATTTCAACACACTGTGCTCTCTTTGTCTCGTCCTGCTTCCTTACAAATATAAAATGTGCTAGAATTCTGAGGCAAAGGCTGTTTAAAAATATCCCCTGCCAAGTAAAATCTGTACTAATTTCTGTTTTCATATATTTTTTCCCCTAGGATAGCCCCAATGAAAAGCAACAACTGTCTTTCTGGAGGACGTGGGTCAGGGCAGGCACCTCCATGTGTTACCAAACCTACGATTATTTTGTTCCAGCAAACTCAAAGTACCACAATATAGACCATGTATTATATTTTGTACAATAAAATAATAAAGCCATCTGTATTGGCACCTGATCAGCTCTAATGACAGAGCACTCCAGCTAGAAGGTGTTGAATGTGTAAAGGCGTGATTGCCAAACCTGTCTAGTTGCAGGCATTGGCAGGTACAGATCAGCCACTCAGGTTTATTGATGTTTTTTGACCTCAGATTAACATATTGGGCAAATAATCTTGTACTAAGGCCTCGGCTACATAGAAAAATTGTAGCAGTATAGTTAAAGTGGCACATTTCCCCTAGTGTGGATGCAGTTATAGCCATATAACGTGCTTATCCCAGTAGAACTTTTTTCCATATGGGAAGGGGCCTGGGGAATAAGCAATAGTGATATAAGACACCTTTATACTGGTATAACTGTGTCCACACTATAGGTTATACTGGTATAGCTATTTCAGTAAAATATCACACCCAATATCACATGCAATATAGGAGAGCGACAAGGGAGACCAAAGTAGGAAAGAGCAAAAGAGGAGGAATAAGGGGACAGAGGCAACCTAGGGGGAACAAGCAAGGTAGATAACAGAACAGGGGGCAAATAGGAGAGAGGCAAAGAAGGAGAGGGAGGTAGATGCTGCTTTTCAGGAGAAGGAAAGATTCAAATAAGAAAATTAAATAGAAATGAGGGAAAAGCAATAAAATGGATAAGAGAAGAGGAGGTTGGAAGAGAGGGAGAATCAAGAAAAGATGCCTACAATGCGGACTTTAGTGAATTTCCTGTATTTATTTCTGCTGCTATATTTTATTGTCTTTCCTTGACATTTGTCTTGTGGCCTGAATTTTCAAAAGCAATTACGTTTTGGGTGCCCAACTTGAGACACCTTAGAGGGGCCCGGTTTTCACAAAATGCTGAGCACCTGCTCTGTCAAAATCTGGGCCCTTTTTGGTGTCTCCAATTGGCCGCTCCAAATCACTAGTCACTTCTGAAAATGTAGGCCTGTCCATCAAAAGTGTTGGGGAAAGTGATGGGGTCACTGTTCTGCTCAATTGTTACTGAACGTTGTATTTCTTAGTCACCTGATATTACTGTAACATCCATGGCTGAGCTAAAAGGAAACCTGCATGTATCTTGGACAGCACATCAGTTAGGAACTCCACAATACAAGACGCATTTACCACATGTGAACAGTGAAATGTATTTGAAGGTAAAGTGTAATTAATGCTGGTATTTTGGCCCTCTTTTTGGCAATTTTACTGTAAAGTGATACCAATCCCTACAGCAAGATTATAAAACAATTGGCAATTGTTTTAACCACCTTTGTCTGGGCTCATTTATTGATGGCAGCATCGTGTAAGCCCAAAATTAAAAGATTGTGAATCAATATCTATCCTCATGTGTTAGAGACTAGAAATGGGCACCAGGTGTTGAAGAGAATAGAAAAGGGCACCAGGGAACCCAGAAATAATAAATCAATTAACTGCAGCCTTTAGGCATTATTACAGAAAATTCTCATTAAAAAATTCTCATTAAAGAAATGGTTAATGAGAAATCCATTACTTATTGATAGAAACAGTTACAGCATATTCCCAACTACTTGTGTCACACTTTACTCCAGGTTGAATAACCTTTAGCCCTTATCCCAGAGTTTTCATCTTCAGAGAACTTCACAAGTATTCTCACAACACACTTGTGAAGTAAGCAAGTATTATTTTCATTTTACAGAGAGGGGAAACTGAGGGATGTAGGGGTTAAGTGACTTGCCTGAGGTCGATGAGGGAGCTGGAGCTCAGGAGTTCCTGGCTCCTCATTCTCTGTGCAGACAGCTAGTCCACACTTTTCATGTGGCCTGGTCCTGAGAGGTACTGGGCTCGTGCAGCTGCCATGCTCTTGCTCTTGTTAACCATCAGTTAACATAAGGAACCAGACATGAGAATTTGCCTCTTTTCTAAGAGCAGAGTTGTTATTGTCTTCAGTTTTGCAGTAACCAGTGCTAAATTCCATATGAACAGTCTTCCTTTTTACCCTAACAGCCATATTACTCATCCACGTCCACATCACCTTGGGTCTTTTCCATACTAACCTGGCCCACCCTTAATCCAGCCAAAAAACTGCTGACAAAATCATCTTCCATTCCTGTTACTTTGCTCCCTCTGCAACTCCTGTCTTTGGGCTGAAGTAAATGGGATGAAATTCAATAAGGGCAACTGCAAAGTATTCCACTTAGCAAGTAACAATCAGTTGCACACATACAAAATGGGAAATGACTGCCGAGGAAGGAGTACTGCAGAAAGCAATCTGAGGGTCATAATGGACCACAAGCAAAATATGAGTCAACAGTGTAATGCTGTTGCAAAACAGGCAAATATCATTCTGGGATGTAGTAGCAGAAGTGTTGTAAGAAGATGAGAAGTAATTCTGCTCTACTCCACACTGATTAGGCCTCTACTGGAATATTGTGTCCAGTTCTAGGTGCCACATTTCAGGAAAGTTTGGGCAGATTGGAGAGAGTCCAGAGAAGAGCACAAAAAAAAAAAGATTAAAGGTCTAGAAAACGTGACCTATGAGGGAAGATTGAAAAAAATTGGGTTTGTTTAGTCTGGAGAAGAGAAGACTGAGAGGGGACACGATAACAGTTTTCAGGTACCTAAAAGGTTGTTACAAGGAGGAGGGAGAGAACTTGTTCTCCTTAACCTCTGAGGGCAGGACTAGAAGCAATGGGCTTAAATTGCAACAAGGGCAGTTTAGGTTGGACATTAGGAAAAACTTCCTAACTGTCAGGGTGGTTAAGCACTGGAATAAATTGCCTATGGAGGTTGTGAAATCTCCATCACTGGAGGTTTTTAAGAGCAGCTTAGACAAACACCTGTTAGGGATGGTCTAGATCAGTGTTGGGGCTTGCAGGGCTGCTATGGGCCTCTCCCCTGACCCCGGAACTCCCTGCTGCCAGCTGGGGGGAAAAAGGGCCCCTTCCTCCAGAGCTCCCATGCTGCCTGCCGGCAGGGAGGAAAAAGTGCCCCCTCCCCTGGAGTTCCCGTGCTGCCTGCCAGCAGAGAGAGGGCTGGGGGAGTCCTCTGGCCCCAGCCCCGGGGCAGCCTGCCTGCATCCCAAACTCCTCATCCCTGGCCACATCCCAGAGCCCGGACCCCTGCATCCCAACCCTTTGCCCCAGCCCTGAACCCCCTCCTGCTCCCTGAACTCCTCATCCCCAACTCCACCCTACAGCCCTCACCCCAGCCAGAGCCCTCACCCCCACACCCCATCCTCTGCCCTACCCTGAACAACCTCTCACACTCCGAACCCCTCAGCCCCACCCCATGTGGCTCTCACATTGAAGGTTTTTTTGCCAAAGTGGCCCCCACTTAAAAAAAGAGCACTGGTCTAGATAATACTTAGTCCTGCCATGAGTGTAGGGGACTGGACTAGAGACCTCTTGAGGTCCCTTCCAGTTTTATGATTCTATGTATGATAGTCACTGGTATAGTACAGATGGGAGAGAGATCAACCTAGAGTAGCGTTTCTCAAACTGGGATCCGTGGACCCCGAGGGAACTCCAGGGGCCCCGTGGGCCCTGCTGATCAACTCCTCCCCCTCCCTCTATCTTCCAGAGGCACTGAAGCCAAACCGGGAGATTTTAGCCACTAAAACTCCGGCGCTGCAGCAGGGCTAAGGCAGGCTCCCTACCTGCCCTGGCTCCGGACCTTTCCCGGAAGTGTCTGCTACATCCCTGTGGCCACTGGCGGGGGCAGGGAGTCTCTGTACACTGCCCCAGCGCTAACTCCGCAGCTCCCATTGGCCGGGAACTGAGGCCAATGGGAGCTGCAGGGGTGGTGCCTGGGGGAAGGGGCAGCGCGCAGAGACCACCTGCCCTCCCCACCTAGAAGCCGCCGCCAGAGGGATGTGTCAGTTGCTTTCGGGAACCACCTGAGGTAAGTGCCTCCCCTCACTCCCTCCCGCTCCCCAACCCTCTGCCCCAGCCGAGAGCCCGCACCCTTCACCCCCTCCTGCACCCAAACGCCCTCCCAGAGCCCATACCTCCTCTCACACCCAACCCCCCCCAGAGCCTCCTGCACCCCTCCTGCCCTCAAACTCCCTCCCAGAATCCGCACAGCTCACCTCCTCCCGCACCCCAAACCCGTGCCCCAGCTCAGAGCCCATACCCCGCACCCAAGCTGTCTCCCAGAGCCCACACCCCACACCCCCTCCTGCACCCAAACTCCCTCCCATATCCTGCACCCCCTCCTACACCCCAACCCCCTGCCCAAGCCTGGTAAAAGTGAGTGAGAGTGGGGGAGAGCAAGCGATGGAGAGACGGGGGATGGAGTGAACAGGGGGCGGAAAGACATGTGGTGGGGCTGTGGGGGAAGGGGTGGAGTGGGGGCGGGGCCCAGAGCTGAGTGGGGGGCTTAGGGAGTCCCCAAATGTTTTTAAATCAAAGTGGGGATCCTTGGGTTGCTAAAGTTTGAGAACCACTGACCTAGAGCATGGTTATTTACCTAGGGTAACATTTTCAAAAGCATAAAAGGGTGTAGCTACACTGCAGTGTAAGCCCAGGCTCAGATTCAGGCTCAATCCCAAACCCCCTTCCATCTACGCTCAATCTAACATAACATAAGAGCGGCCAAACTGGGTCAGACCAAAGGTCCATCTAGCCCAGTATCCTGTCCTCCGACAGTGGTCAATGCCAGGTGCCCCAGAGGGAACGAACAGAACAGGTGATCCTGTCACAGGCCCAAGGACATCCTCCCTTAGGGGGTCCCATGGGGAGGCAAATTAGCATTGTATGTTGCTAACGCGATTGCAAGCATTGCAAGGCATTTCGGGGGAGGGTCAAAGGTGTGTGAGTGTAAAGTGGAAGATTCCTTTGCAGGTTGCAAAAGGCCAAAGGGGGAGGGAGGAAGAGAGCAGAGAACGGGTTAACTCGACACTTCAGCTAGCTCCATCTGAAGATAAGACGTTGACCCCGGTCCAAGGTCATGGGCTCGACGAGAAATCTGCAGCTGCCCAGCCATGAGAAGAGGAGAACTAAGTTGAGCAGGGCTGCAGAGATTGCAGTGAGAACAGTGAGAGTGAATGAGATGGCGAAGGCCAACGGGGGGGAAAACAAAGTCTCTGAAGCCAGTGTGTTTTGGGAAAGCCAAGGAGGCCACAGCGAGTCTGTTTGGACTGGTACAAAGAGCACCGGGCACAGAGGGCCCTGAACGAAAACACCCCCAAAAGAACCCAGGACTTAAAAACCATCCCGAGAGCAAAAGCAAGTCAGAGATCACAGCGGACCCTGGACGACCCACTCACGGGACAAGAACTCCCGTCTACCCTTCCCCGCTCTTCTTATGTTACACCCAGGCTTGTGGGCTAGAGCTTGGGGCACTAACGCTTTGCTTTTTCCTTCTGAGTGACGTGGGGGATCCCCAGCACTCTCTGCTGTTGTTATTTTATTATTTTATTAATAAAGCTTTAAACTTTAGACACTTGGTGTGCTCTTCATCTCCTCCCCTAAAGATCCTGTGGCCTCAGCCTGATCACCTGATGCCCCAGGCAGATTGGAAACATAAATCTGTCACAATCCATCCCCTGTCGCCCATTCCCAGCTTCTGGCAAACAGAGGCTAGGGACAGTATCCCTGCCTATCCTGGCTAATAGCCATTGATGTGTCTAACTTGGGCCCAGGACACTGAGGAGTGGAGGGTTTGAGACAGAGTCCCACAGAGGCACAGGCCCAAACTCCATCATTTTGCAGTGTGAACACAGCTCAGCCTGGGCCCCCTGTCTTAGGTCCTGAGAGTCCACCAATGCTATCCCACAATCCCATGGGATAGTGTCCTTTCTATCCCAAGACTGGCCAATCGATTCCCCGGAAACTGAAGCAACCCCATGGTTCAAGTACAGCTGTTCAGCATTTAACCCTTCCATTTTGTTTTGACTGCTGAGCTGCACACAGAATAAACCTTCCCCTGCATTTGTAATGGCCACTGACACGAAGAAATCCTTCGCCAAGCATGCTGCTAACTGGTCATGGGAACACAGCCAGACTTTGGTGAATCTCTGGTGTGAGGTAAGTAAGTGCTTTGACTTTAGCAAAGGAATGACCACGCATACCAGTTAATATCAAAGAAGCTGGCAGCATTTGGGATTCACTGGACCAGTGACCAGTGCAGGGAGCAGATTAAATGGCTCAAGACCAACCACAGGAAAGTCAGGGATGAGAACTGCACCTCTGGGAAGTTTTATGAGGAGTTTTACTGGGTGCTGGGTACTGTGCTGAGCGCAGAACCAGTCTCGCTTCACAAAAGCCTGGTCAGCTGGGACAGTGA